GTAAAATTTAATGTTTAGCTAGAAATTATATATATAAAGATATGATAGAATAATTAATAAGATATGATTATTCTTAATTAATATAAATGTAACGGTTTTACCATAATTAGCTTATCAAGTGAGCGGGAAATTCTTTTTTGTGCATTAATTGAATAGCCTAGTTTTATATATACTAGTTGTAACATGTGCATTTGCACAGAAAACTATATGATAGAGGAAAAAATAATAAAAGAAAAAAAATTGTAAAAATCATAAGAATAGAAAAAAAAAAAATTAGAAAGATAATTTAAATATTGTTAAACACTTCTTTATATACTACGTTCGTAGTTTTCTATCGTCATAATATCCATCACTATCAATCTTTATTTTCAAACTCCTCCGACTCATGATTCTAGAGAGTGCCACATATAACTATCCTGAATGTATGGTTCTTCAGTAGTAAACCGACGTGCGAGTGATTCTAGATAGTTGCACAAATAAATGTCTATGATTGAATATATGATTCTTCAGTAGTAAACCGACGTGCGACAAAGATCGGCCTTGACTCTTGTTTACAGTCCATTATTTTTTTTTTTAACATTTAGCCAATTTGAAAAGAATTTAGCCCAAAAACTGATTCTTTTTATTAAACATGACCTATATTATATGAAGAACCCGATTTTAAAAACCGACCAGTAACATTAAAGACGGATCGTAATTTGAAACGGCTCAATTAGCCCATCTATTATTATATAAAAAGAATAATCTTTTTATGATTTCTCGCCAAAATTTACAGCCAAAATCATTTAATGAATAAATGCAGTGTTGGTTTTTCTGATGGTTCCATTTTTCTTATTTATAGGTTAACAAAATAATAGATTGTGTTGATTTGTTTCCCTTTAAAAACCGGCAATAGTTTTTGTAATGTTTCCCTTATTCCTATTTTTTAGGTTAACAAAATAACAGATTGTGTAGTATTCGAATAATACCAATATTTACGCATAACGTCTTTATTAAATTAGGCTTATAATATTTTAGATACTTTAAACAAAGAAGACATTTTTTTTTACATATTCGTTTATATATATATATATATATATATATATATATATACATATACATAATTGATGTTAAATTTAAATATTTGTAGACATGTTTTCTTTAAAGACGAAAAAACTGTTACGTTTATATTAACTGAGTATATGAGCATCTACTATAGGGAGATGTTTATGAAGGCGGATGGCCTTACAAATCAAATATATACGCTGATCATGCTATTATCATTGTCGGGTCTAGGACGGATGATGGAGGGAGATATTAAGTCTGCCAAAACAACTACGGTATGGAGTGGGGCTATTTTGGATTCGCCAGAATAAAGGCACATTTGGTCAGTTGTGGGTTCTTATGCACGTTTTCGTCACTACGCGTGGCAGGTAGTTATGTGGCTTTTCAGTTGTTTTGGGCACATTTGGTCAGTTTAATGTACGTTGTTGTGGGTTCTTACGCACGTTTCCGTGACAACATCTGTTAGGTAGTTATGTGGCTTTTGGATTATTTTGTGGCTTGTATAAGGCGGTTATTGATGTTTAATATTTCACTAGTACAATACCCATGTAAATACACCGGTGTTGAATTATGAAGCATATGAAAAAAAAATATTATTTTTTTAAACTAAAATAATTTAATTTTTATATAAATTACTTTGAGTTTTAATTAAATTTTCAATTATATCTTTTTAATCATAATAATTAAACACTCGTATATTAAATGAATATGTCAACTCATATTGATTTTTTTTTTTTTTACTTATATCAAATAAAATTATTGATATTATTTACTATTATTAAGTAAAAAAAATATACATCTTAAATAAATAGAAATAATATGGTGATATATATATGCATAAGTGCATAATATATTTGATTAATATTAAGCAAAATAGATTAATTTTGTACTTAATTAGATGCCTAATACATCAAGTGTCGTATCTGTCGTGCTTCACAGTTTTTTTTTTTTTCGAAACGATAGAGATATTATATGTAACCGAGCAAATTTACAAAAATACAGCCACTAGTTGAATACAAACAGCCAAAAGCTTAATACAATCAACCAACAGCTGAATAAAGTGGGAGGACGGCCAAATGACCGCCTAGAGCCGACCCCAATAGGGTAATACTCACGAACACACAAAAACACAAACACACAAAAAAAAAATACTAAACTAAAAAAGGCCCCAACAGGGTAATACCCGAGTGTCAGATCCCAATGGGATAATAAGGTGACACACGAGTTAATCGAAGCCCAACGGCCCAAACCTAAAATATAAGACAAACACAAATACAGATACTACTAATACTAAACAAGAACATAATAACTAAAATAAACTAAAAGTCCTTCCACAGCAAACGAACTAGCCCGAACTAACAGTATCCGATCAACGCAAGACAAATCCAGGCCAAGAAACAGCTATCGAAATTGCAATCAAGCCTATACAGTAGAAGAAACCAAGGCCCGAACCAATCTCCGAATCGTCCCGTCTCCAACCGAGCGAACAAACACCAGCCCCTACCCCAGCCCCACCCCAACCCGTCTAACACCACTAGCCGAGCTCGGGAGAACCAGGTCCCCTGCAGCCTAACACCACTAGCCGACAGGGGAGGGAGAGAGAGGCGTATTCCGCTACTTCGGCAACCACGGTGAAGGACTCGCCCCACCAAGATGCTGCCAAAGCCCCACCCCACTAATTGACCACAAACCTCGCCACCGCGTACCGCTGACAACTAGAGGCTGAACTCCACCCTCAGCTCCACCGGAACAGGCGATGCCAATCAGGAGGGACCCGTAGTTCGCAGACAAGAAACAGATCGCAAAGGCGATGACGACCACCCGAGGACCTACCGGCGACCTAATCGCTGACCATCCTCCGCCTAGGATCGAGCAACCGTCTGGAACCACAGACCGACCAACCATCTCCGACCACCCGCAACAATATCCGAGGGGTGCTAGTCAGGAGTGATGCAAGCCGTTGAAGACGACCATTGGCCGAAGCAAAGCAGTCACCGGGGAAGGCCGACTGTCAAGAATTTTGAGGAAGCGACAGATGGATTTTGGGGGTTAGGGTTGAGCGAGAAGAGAATGTTAGGCGTGCTTCACAGTTTTGTAACTTTATATGTAATTTTAGAATTTAGATAAATAAAATAAATAATTTATGTGTAACTTTATATCGTTAAAAGATAGTTAATTTGATATATCATATATAAAAAAATAAAATACAAACAAAAAAGTTATAAAATCTTTAAATAAGAAGAAGAAACATTTATAATAACTAATGAATGAATTAAAGAAGAAAATAAAATGTAATGTATGGTAATGTAGGAAAAAGAAATATAACATAATTTATGGTAACTAATTGTAGAAGTAAAGAAGGAAAAAATCGATCATGGATTTAGTGTGATAAAAAATACTAATTTATATCCAAACCCAATTCCAAAGCGTGAGAGTTTGCTACGTAGGCTAAACCTATTCTGAAATTATATATAGAGGGAATATGGGTCCTTATGCGATGTGGATATTTATTTCCGTGTTTTCAGTTGTCACTTATGTGAGGAGGATATTTGTGTGATTGGATGGTTTAAGATATTTCGTGTTTTTATTTGTTTTTATTTTTCCTCATGTTTTCATTTGAGTACTTATGTGGCGAGGATATAATTAATGTGATGAGGACCGGATGTTTAGAGCGTGCTTAGATACAAATGTTTTCATTTGAGTACTTATGTGGCGAGGATATAATTAATGTGATGAGGACCATTTAAGATGTTTAGAGCGTGCTTAGATACAAATATATCGAGTCAAAACTTAATATGTTGAGTGTCACGCAATCTTAATCGGTGCCGCGTCAAAATTTCAAGCGGACATTTCAACCGATAACTGATTTTGAAACAAAATTACAATACTTAATAAATCTTTGATATTTTGTTATAAATTTGAAAATGTTGATTTTTATTTGCAATTAAACAAAAGGTTAGCGTTTTATAGGCAATTAACCCATTTAAAAATAGATTTCTTGAATCAATTTTCAAATCTATACTTATATAAAGAGTCATCCTATTTACTAAAATTAGTAGTAAAAAAATAGGTGAGCATTTAATGCAGCCCATTAATAGTAGCTATATTATTTTTCCTATTTTTTTATTTAAAAATCATACGTAATTTATAAATACGCTTTAATATAATCATACAATTTAATTTATAAAAATCATACATTTTTTTTTAAAAAAATACGTTTTAATATATATATATATAGTACTTTTTGTAATAAATTTGAATAAAATTTGTTACTTCAATATCTAAACAATTTAAAAATTCAAATGTTTAAGTTAATTGATAAACAATTTATAAATCTCTATTTTATTTAAAACAATTTTAAATATAACCATATTTATTTAAATAATCGTATTGATTCTACCAATTCAACTGACTGTTGTTGACAGATTCAATAAAAAATATTTTATTCAAGTGAACTAAACTAATTATAAATCAGTCTCGGTCCATCCGATCGGACTGTGTCCAACATGGTTTAATTTAAAAATGATGGGTAAATCTTAATTAATTTATTTATATATTTAATTTATAACACAATTGTAATATTATTTTCCCGTGCATCGCACAAGCCACACACTAGTAGTATTAGCAGTATGTTATATTATACGTCGTACACATATTATTATATATTGTACTAGTATTGTTTGTTTACCTATTTCTTATTAGACGGTGAACAAAATATATGCTCACAATCATGCACAATACAGAAGAAACAAACACAAAATAACAAAAATAAAAATAGACATTATATGCTGCCACACAACTTGGTCTTATTGTTTTTCCGAGTCAAATCCAAAGCTACTGCACATTAGCATACACATTTGATTGTAGCTCTCATCATCTTCTTTCCCAAGAGAAACTATGAGCAAATGTGAAATGGACAAAAGAGTAAAGGTGAAAATGGAAGCTCTTTCAGGAACTTAATGTGTTGTATGAAAGGATAGGTCCTTTAGTTGCTGGGGATCAACCTCAGAAGGTGCACGAGTAAGGGCACATTGGGCAGTAGTTGTTTTTGGGAAGGCTATAACATCCCTAATCGAGCTCGTCCCTGCCAAAAGCATCGCCAGTCTATCCAACCCATAAGCAATACCTCCTGCACAAAAACCATGCGAATTCAATCAAAGAATCAGGGAAAAAATCGTTAGTTCTTTTACTTTTTCTCTTCAAGAGTTTTTCAGTTCAAGGATTTTTTTTGTCCTCTGAAGTTCATAGTTTTATCCTATATCTTTCAGGATTCTTTGTTTTTAATTACTTTTAGTTTTATCTAGCATGGTCTATTCATGGACAAGGTAAACTCAATCATAATTCCATAATTTTTAAATCAACATAGAACAAATTTAGGGTATTAATAGCAATTACCATGTGGAGGAGCACCCATGTCCAAAGCCTCCAAAAGATACCCAAACTTGGCTTCAGCCTGAAAAGAATAATAACAATAAAATAAAATAAAATTATAAGAAAAGAAAAATGACAGCTGTCAAAAGTATTCACGACAATCGACTTTCGGCATAATGATTTCCGAAAATAAAAAGTTTACTTGTTCACGGGAAATGCCAACTATTTCCAAAACCTTCTCTTGGACTTCGCGTTTGTAGATTCTTAAGCTCCCTCCACCAATCTAACAAATAAACATTAAATCACATCTATGAGTACTCCCAATTCAGATCGCTTCTTTGTGAAACCAAAACGAGAATAATATGCACCTCAACACCGTTGTAAACCATGTCATAAGCTAAGGCACGGGCAGAAGTTAGGTCCTTCATATCATCAGGGTTGGGGGCTGTGAATGGATGATGCAAGGCCTTCAAAAGAGATATCATTATATCAGTGTTTATCATGTGATAGTTAAAATTTATGAATATAACATTCATGTAAATACAAATTAGCTACGAATTTAATGACATGTTTATTGCAATCGTCTCCAATATTGAATATTGATTATAGGAAAAAAAAAAAAAAAATGATAGTACAAACCTCAAGCCTTTCCTCAGATTCATTCCACTCGAACATTGGAAAATCAGTAATCCATAGGATAGAATGCCTTGACTAACAGAACCATAGATAAACAATATAAAGTTCAGACAAGAAAATTGCTATGTTAAAAAATAGGTGCGTGAATGACATAATAAAAAAATAAAAATGACAGTAGCAGCAAGTAAAGTAGTAATTAATAGTAACGGGTTAAAAAATACAGTTGTAACTTACAGGATCAATCAGGCCCAATTCATGAGCTACATGAAGCCTCAGGCGGTCTAAAGTTTTATTAACTGATGCAGGGTTACCCACTGCAAATAATATTAAATCATCTGAACTGGCACACAGTATATTAAGTAAATGTTCTTTATCTGCTCTGCCCAAACTCGATACTAACACTGGAATCCCTTCAAGGGCACCTGCAACAGTACATTACTACAAATCAATAATAGCAACTTCCATATCATCCTGTAAAGCACATACTTTATAGGATGTATCTTCCTTACCATCAGTTGAGACCTTTAAGAAAGGTAGACCCTTTGCTCCAGATTTAATAGCTTCATTGTATATATCACCCTTCTTAAGAGCACTATTTGAATAGCTTTTGGCCCCTGAAGGTACACACAGTGCTTTAATAATACCCCCAGACGACAAGGCATCTGCAAATACCTTGAAGGACGAATTCCTAAAAATATTGGATACCTGCATGAGCCATGAAGAACACATTTTCACTAGAAGAGCCGATAGGGAGGGGACAAAACGCGTCATCAAAGTTCTAATTACATATACGCCACATCTTCCATTCCATCCAGAAGAAAAGAAAATACAGATAAAACAAAATTTATCACTATCAGTACAGAAAATTAAAAGAATAGGAGTTAGCAGATGATCAAATCACTGGGAAAAGAACAATTGATTGATGAAAATGAATATGCTGATATGTACAATATAACTCACTATAGTAAATATACATAACAATAACCCCAAAAGAAAATAGTGGTTCATTAAATATGTTTATAGATTAATTCTTTCGAAGTTTCACATTCATATATGCATTGATATTTTCGGGTCCCAATAAAAATGACAATAAACAGTTACAGATGTAGCAACCAAGTGATTACATCTTTCAGTTCAACATCAAAGCGTGTATCCGGCCTGTCTGATCCATATCTGCTCATAGCTTCAGCATATGTTAGCCTTGGAAAAGGATTCGGCAGCTCAATTCCTTTGATCTCAAGAAAAACCTGCAAGGTTATTTGGAACTGATGAACTCCGTACAATTGAATTAATCTGCCAAGACGAATATAGCTAAGACTTCAAACTTATGAGATACATAAATGACTGCCGATAAAGGAGCGCAGCCCCTGAACAAACTCACCAACCACATAAAGTAACACGATAGGCCTATTGGCTGAACTTTAAAAATGAAAAACCACATTCAGTTTCCAAGTCATTTTTTATCAGTCTGGTTCACTAAGAAACCTTTTTTTCTTCAAATGATATTAATTATTATTAAGTAAATATATACACTATTAGAGGTACATACACTTCCTTGGTACAAAGACAATCAAGGGGACTACGCTGAAAAAAGAACATGACATCACAAAAACAAAACAAATAAACAAAAAAGTCAAAATACTCCACATGGGAGACTTCTACACTCCACTATAGGAGAATACACAACAAAACAGCACAAACAAAATAAACATACTAGACAGACAAGAAAAATACAAACACAAACCTAAAACACAAAACAGAAAAATAGGTCGAATAGAAACATCCCCTCTTCAAACATACTTGCCAAGGGAAATCCTTAATTACTAAACAATGGCATTACTCATCCAGGACAACTTGTATAATAGAGAATCCTGGACCAATCCAACAAACCTTTCTAATCAAGTCTTCATTCAGTTTCAGCATGTCCTCAAGAGGAGTGAATGCCATTTCCATGTCCAGCTGGGTAAATTCGGGCTGCCTATCGGCTCTTAAATCTTCATCTCTAAAACACCTGTAAAGCAAGAACAGAAAAAGAGTATGAGCCAAAAAATCATTGTTTGTCGAGTTCGGATCACAAACCACAATTACGAGCATGCGGACTTGTACAGAAGTTTTACAATTGGGGACAAAAATTTTATTGATAGTGAATGTTTGAAAGGAGAAATAATTTAGTAAGAGTAATATGTAGCAAGCGTATTATGCATAGAATCAAAGGAAAAGGAAAAGAATCTAACTACCCAGGCAACCATTGTCTTACCTTGCTATTTGATAGTACTTATCGAAACCCGAGACCATAAGCATCTGCTTGAAGAGCTGTGGGCTTTGAGGCAAAGCATAAAATGTTCCAGGCTTCAGATAGAAGAATCAAGCATCAGATATTCATTTCATGGAGAAAATCATGCAATCAAAAGTAAATGTGATGAAAAAGATGGCGTTTTTGTCTAGGACCTAAGCTACCTTTCGGTAAGTAATCCGATCTATACAAGAAATTTCCCCAAGAAAGGGTTACTCCTCTATAATGCACACATGCAGACATGAATAAAACAGCCCTTTAATAAGAAGAGGAAAAGCTGTAAAGCCAATAGCATATTAAGTATATTACAAAAAAAAA